GTAAGTATGGTAAATATATTTCACTTCAGTAACATCCTTTTATGTCCCCACATGGTATACCCCCTTCCCCACATCTTTACATGTACAACTCCTACCATCACTCCCCCACATCTTCTCTCCAAACTTGTAAGAATGTGGCATACACTGTATAAAGCATCATTTTTCTAAAACCTAACTGTTAATACCTTAGCCCCAAAAAATGATGCTGAGAATACCAATGCAAGTTTTGCCTACGAGGAGGAAATGCAGCAGGGAAGAAACAATGCCAGTGAGTTCATGGATGCAAGGACATAAAGAAATGACCCCCTCATGTTTGACTTACTCAGTGTTTTTCTCCTAGGTTTAGGTATGATGCCTTGCACTATCAGAGCTCTGAAGTATGTGTTGAGCAGGGTGGAGTCTGTGTATGGAAATGAGAGGCCAAGAGTCTTCATTACCACTTGGAAGTTGTCATTTCTGTAGGTGCTGAGGTTGGAGAAGAAACTGCTGTCCCTAAAACATGATTTATATAAGATTATTTAACATGACAAAGGTATAGGTGTACCTGCCCTAACGAAAAAGTCCTATAGGATCCTATAAGATCCTATAGGATCCTATAGGAAATTGGGCCAATTTCCTATAGAATCCTATAGGATCTTATAGGATCCTATAGGACTTTTTCGTATGGGTGGTGTGCAATATAATTGCACAGCAATGGCATAAAAGTGTTTCTAGGATTAAACACACACACACACACACACAGTCATACACTTATCAATGCCCACACACACACACACACACAAACACAAACAGATTAACAAGTAGACAGACATGTGTTTTCTACCACTTTTTGGAGTTGAACTATATCTTTCAAAAAACGGTCTTATGTAAGTACTACCAAATTCGAAGACTGGAAAGACTATATGATGCCGGTAAGAATTAAGCCAAACAATTTTTTCCATTTAAATGTTACCATTACTTTCCAAAATCTCCAGTTTATTAATTAGCACAGAAAAACTGCTACAATAGCAAGTATTCCTGTACTTACATGACCATGTTGTCCAGTAACCTGACAAGCAGACCATCCCCTTTCTTCTGGTGTGCAGACTTCACCCTGTAAGCAGTAAACTAGTGTCTTACTAATGTAACACATATAAAAAAAACACCATTACTGTTACATCACTGACATTACTGGGGCACAGCTTTGGCAATTTGCCAACTGAACACATTTTGACAGACCAATAACCAAGATAAATGACTTATGAGTGATGACCCAGTGATGATCCTATTTATTTGTTCTTATAACAACATTTTAGAACTACACTTCAAAGTTTTGGTAAGAGGCAAAATGTTTTTTTGCTGCTCCCAATATTTATAAATAACAGTCTGTCGGAACAATTCTTCAAAGAACATAAATCAGGCATTTCTAGCTTTGCAGCTTGGAAAAAAATCAAACTGTCAAATTTATACTCAATAGGACATGTAAATACACAAGAAAATTGTCACTTTTCAAATACCCATTACTACATCCGATAACTGTAAGACATAAAAGTAATAGGTTGTCTGTCATTTAACTGAATGTACAGTAACATAATATATAATATTAGTAATACTAAATACTAGTTAAGTGTTCTACCTACCGTTTGACCCAATCCTCATAGCTGACGATCTTCACAGCATAACCATGCGCCATCAGCCACTCAAACAACCACCTGGAAGTAACAAGTACACTTACTTCACTCCAAAATCTTATAAAATCTGCCATTTTAAAAAAAATTGCAACAGGGCATAATTTTGTTTAATATGAGTCTCTAAATCTTCTTACTAGATGGTACAAAATGTGTCTTTTATTAAATAATTTGAACTGAAAGAAGAGAGATCAACTGATTTCATTTACCTTGAATCCATGGGTTTTGTGTTCACCATGTGGAAAACTTTCCCCATGGAAAGCATGATGTCTTGAGTCATCTGCACTATGGTACTGCTCACAAAGTCCACAGGCGTCATCTCCACCTTCCAGTTGACATCTGGTGCCACCTTCAGTTCGATACATGACTTGATCATCAACAGGTTGAAGTCTTGTGCATTCCAATAGCCATATTTGCTGTCTCCAGACAAATTTCCTACAAAAATGTTCAATATCATTATATTATTTTATTATTAAACTACACATAAGCTTAAATTTCTCAGGAGATAAAATTGGACATGCTCTACTACCCATTTACGAGCAGACATCTTTCTTCGTAATACTTACCCAGCCTATACTTGTTTACTGAGAAGCCTCTTCTCCATTCCTTAAGGACCAACTGTTATAGCTGTCACTGATATATGAGTAGCTTTCATTCTCACTCGTACTTACCCAGCCTATAGATGGCGACAGGCAAACCTCTGCTCCGTGCCTTCAGGACCAACTGTTCAGCCACCCACTTGCTCTGAGAGTAACCATCAGCCAAGTTATCACAGTGCTTGATCATATCATCCTCCTCAGAGCAGTCCTTTAACCCATGGGGAAACACACCATCAGTGCTGGAACAGTGCATCAACCCATAACTTTTTTTATCTATGATCTAGATAGGTCTGTATATTGGTCAGGGTTTCTGTTACTTCAGCTTAAGGTACATCTGTATGTGTATTTTGTGATACAGTTATACATGTACATTACCCATTTTCCAACAAAGAGAGGGCCTCTTTTTCTATTCAGTAATGAGTCCATAGTGACAATACAGTTCATTAGTTGGCTATCCTTACTCTCTGGTTAGTAATCTTGGTATAAATTAATCAAATAAACAAATAGATGTGTGTTAGTACCTGATATAATGCAGTGGTTTTATTTTACTGCTGCATGCAAACAAGATGATGTTCTCAGTCCCCAGGACATTAGGGCCTTGCAATGCCTGGACAGAGGAGAAAGTGACTGGATTAAAACTGGTTAGTTATTTAGTGAAAATGTATACACAAGGAATCCACACTGAGCTTTCTCTGTCATGAAATAATTAATAATTTCTTTCTTTCCTTTCTCTTCCCTTTTTTTTTTTTTTTGGAAAAAAAAAAAGATAAATTTATGTTTGTGTCAATTTTAAACCCCCCCCCCCCAATAAGATATGTACTGAATAAAAATAAGAAAAACAATAAAAATAGTAGTAAAACAATAATAAATAGTAATGGATAGAGTAAGCCCAGATGAATATCTTAGTATACTGCTTGAACATGCAGAACGTAGTCCTCTACATATACAATATTAATGTGTGTGCACTCAGTTAGTAATGCTGATTATTACAAATTTATATATTAAAATAATTAAATATTAATATTTAAAATAATTTATCAAACATGCTGCTGTGTTTGAAATCTTCTATATAACTTGTTAGATAAACTTCATTCAAAAGGAACAGTTAGTGCTTTTGAATTAGTAGCAATAAAAAGATATAGGAAATAAAAGAAAAGACAAATCAAGTGCACTTAAATATTGTCATCACTTATTTTATAAGTCTTTAAAATATTTGAAATGTGTGATGAAATCCATTAGTCTATAATTATAATAAATTAATAAAGCCTTGAACTTTAAATTTTAAGCCTGTTTTTAAAAATATATTTCAATGATGTCAATCAAATGACATGGCATGTGTGCTTTTGTTCATTACTTAATTACTGTACAGGTCATAAAAAGTTAGACTCATTTTCATTCAATAGATCTTAAAAGCCCTACAAACATTAACATTATCTATTTCTTATCATAAACTGTCTTTATCACTGCACAAGATATGTAACTCAAGACACATAACTGTCAGTTTTAACAAACAGATAAGTGATATTGATAGGCATAGACAATAGCAGGCTCACACTACATAATAAAAATGCAAAACTAGAAAAGAGTTAGTTCATT